CCTCTCGGCCCGCTCTGATTGGAGGGAAAGGAACCCCCCCCCTCCCGTGTCGGCGCCTGCCCGAAGCTGAGCCGCTCGCTCGCCCGCTTAGGCAAGCAAGTTCTCCGGCGGAGCCCGGGCACATGGTGAGAGGAAACGAGAGGCAAGGACTTCGCCGCTGCAGCCCCGGCCGTTTGGATTAAAGAGAGGTTTCTTGACATGGCAGCCTGAGCAGCCGGAGGGGAAAAAAAAGAAAGGCAGAGGCGGGGGAGGAGGAGGAGGAATAGAAGAAGAGCACCTCACCAGGTAAGGCTGTTTCCGTGAGCAGTGGCAAGTGCGGGCGGAGCGGGAGGGGGGGGACCCGAGTGTGCGCGAGGAGCGGGTCCCTCCCTCTTTAATTCCAGGGCAAAAAACGGGCTGCTGTTAGAGCAGCCCGGGCGGGCGATTCGCATCCCGAAGTTTCCTTGGCTTTCGCAGTGCTCTTGCAGTGCCCGGTGGTCAAAAGATGCTGCGTAGGCAAAGAGCCTTCCTTGGAGGAAAGGAGCGATTTTTAGCAGAGCTTGCAAAAAAGCCCCCCAAAGCAGACTTCTGGGTCTTTCCGTTCACCCCCGCTTCCCCTTGCTGCTGTTGCCGGTCCAGCGTGCCCTAGCAAGGTATCGCTGAGCAAGATCGGGGTACCTTTTCATAACGATCACGTAGGCTGCTGGGACGGAGTCAGCGATTTTCACAAGAGGGAGCAAAAAAGAAAGAAAAGAAAGCACACAAACTAACGGGCGAGCAAAGCGAACGGTCCCTTTCTCTCTCTTCCCCACCCACCCCCAGCTTTCAGTTGCTGGAGAGCTAAAATGCTACCACCTTGCGCTTGTCCTAATACCCGGTACTGAAGCTGTGGGCTGGAAAGAGAGGGATGCAGGAAAATCTCTCCTCTAGCTCCCATTCTCCCGAGCCCAGGATGTTTCACAGTTTTTGCTACTGTAGCAGGTGGAGAAGGTGGTATTTTTTAAAATTAGCATTCGTTCGGGAAGGTGATCTTTGCGGTGTGCGAATGTTTCCTGCTGACCTCCTTGGGGTATATGGTTGAGCAGAGGCTCAGATTTTTTTTTTAAAAAAATTGGCATTTTGCCCTACTTGTCTGGATACTCAGGTTAATCAATAAAGTAAAATGGACATTTTATCTAACATTTAGGTCTTGCCTCTGTGGTTCCACAGGGTTTGCAGTTGCCTTACAGTTACTTATGTTAGCAGAACAGCAGGGCTTGAGAAAATAGTAACTGGTGAAGCTTTTTAGTTTTGCAAATTGAATCGTTGATACTTTAATCCGTTTTTATTGTTGGGAAGAATAGAATAGCTCTTTTTTTTATAGATAGCATCTGGAATCAAAGCAGACTTGAAATGGCACTTTTGACTTTATAGTTTTCTCTGCTAGGACATTCTGTCCTGGTTTGGTTTTTTTCCCCCCTTTTCCTTTTTATCTTCACCAAATTGAAGGTGTCCACCTTAAAGCTAACTGTGTATTGCTAGGAAGACGAAACAGCCAGCAAATCCGTGAGCTTGGTAATGATGTGAATGCTACTATATGGGTTTTATGTTTTTTTTTGTTCCCATACTTTATTGTGACTAATTTTAGTGGGAGATGCTTTGAAGCTGGCACAAAAGATATCCTTTTTGGGGGCTTTTAAAGTGGCAGTTAGGTATATGTTTCTTTTGGCAAAACTAGACTTACTTTTGACATATGCATTTTGGAGGAAATGAGGGTGATATGTAAGTAACCAGATATCCTAACTGGCTAATGTTAGGAAATGGTAGTTTAGGGTTTTGTTTGATGTCTGGGATGTGAATAGTAAAGATACAGCAGATAAAGGTTAACATGAAAGGTTCATAACTGGCATACTGGCACTAATATTACAGAGTTTCCAATATCATGGCAGCAGTGCCAAGCTTATTAGCAATAACACAACTGTAGGTCCAATTAAAGTACATGCCCATCTGTGCTGTGATTATTACCTCTGGAAATCTCTAGGGAAAGATATCCTGATATCTCATGTTCAAACTCTTGAATCTCAAGACTGTAAGTATCAGAAGAATTGCAACAGAGATGGCCTCTTCTGTTTACAAAGAATGGCAAAGAATCAAGCAGCAGACAGAGCTACAACTAAGAAACTGAATAAGTTGAGGGGCATTAAAATAATCTTCCAGTTAATTCCCCTGTGATCAAAGCAGAACTACTTGAGGATTAAATGAAGAAGCAGGACATTGTGATATATGTATGCCCTGTGGTCTAAACTAGTACGGTTGTTCATCTGCAAATAGCAACAGTTTGTGTGTTTTGTCGGAACAACATATCTAATGTCTGAACTCAGTACCATAAGTGGGGAAGGACATGACACTCTCTAGTCTTTGGTAATAACAGTCTATCTGCAAAAACATATTAAATCTTTGGACTTAATCAGAGAGTGCTGTACCTTTAAGAAGAAGAAGAAGATTATAACAAATTGACTACAGCTCTAGGCCAGGGGGGTAGTGTTAGAAATTAGGTTCACAAATCCGTAAGCCTCCTTGTGCTGATTTAATGACAGTGTGCTGCTTCCCTTTCATGTGAGAGAGTAACTGTTGAACATCAGTAGAACTGCAGTTCATTCTTGAGTTGACCAGCTTGGATTAAAAAAAATCATTTTCAGTTTTAGCATTCATGTCCAATGCTTTAGAACTGCACCCTAGGTCTTTGGTACCTGCATATGTTTAACCTTTAGAAAAGTCAACTGCAGAAGGCTTGGCATATTTGCTATTCATATAGAAAAGCACATTTGATTCATCTTGATTCAGTGCCCTTTCAACAAAGAGAGGGCTGGGACAGTTTTTTCTCCCCTCATCCTGAAATTACTCCAAGTACAGGTGGCAAATGGAAGTTGCTTTATAGCCAACTTTTCATGATCTAGAGTTACTTTTGTATAATAGCATTGGATGAAGTAAGACTCTTGCATTCTGTGGGCTATTTTAGTTCACGCTAGATATTGGAGTAACTGCTTTTTAAAAGCTCTGCTTATTTGCTGATCAAGCACCATTTGTTCATACATACTCTCATGTCAGCCCTGAGCTGTGCTTTCTTCTGGCAATAAAGTATCAGAGGAGTTTTGCTGGGGAAGGGTGCATAAAGATAGATGATGCCTATTTTCACCTCACACAGCTATACATGGAGCTATAAGCAGCGATACATGAGTGCCTCCTCTGGGAACCTGGTGGCTCTGCAGGGAGACACTGCAAAGTAATCCCTTCTCTTGGGTATTACGGAGATGGCTTAATCTTGAGGGGGTGATCAAAACCAAACAGAGCCTGACTGAGTGCTATGATTAGATGCTTGCATCTTTCGTTTTAGTTGGAGAAATATATACTGCTCCATATCTTCTCCCACCCCCCATTTATGAACATTTGGAAAGTCTTTGCAATTTTCCTTCCAGTAGACATGGTGGAAGAAAAAAGTAAGATTCTTGTGTATGGTGCCTTGGCCAGGCATGGGAGCAGCTCTGTTAAGTCAGCAATTTAAACACTCAAGGTAAGAAAATGGCTCTCACTTCTATCTAGGAAATATCTTTCCATTTGTATTCAGAATAAGCAGATAGAATTAAAAGAATTCAGTGGAAAGGCTTGTCTGAGATACCCTAGAGAAGTACCTCAGATTGCCCAGTTCCTCTGCAAAAATCAAATGCACTCTTCAAAAAGTTACTAAAATTGCTGTACCCTAGAACTCAGTCCTGAGTGAGGACCAATAACTGCAATTGATTTTCTTTTTTTCCCCCCATTCATTAATTGTGGGAAATAATGCTATTCCCAGAAGGAAACCTGTTGCTTTTCTTGCAGACTTTTTGAGCCCTTTCATTCAAGCTGAAAAAAAAACTGGAGTTAGTTTAGCATAGCCAGGCCATATGTTCAGACCACTTACTATTCACTGAACAGTATTCAGATTCAGATTCCAGGAAGCATGCCATATATGCCTTGGTACCTGTGTGACTATTCAGCCAAGTTTAGTAGCAAGAGGATGTGGGCTAGTTAGTACTCTTATCTGATAGAGGGAATTAAATGGGTTTAATCATGTCAGCTTTAGATTCAGATTTGTCTTACTTGAAGGGATCCTTCTGTACTTCTAATGAACTGACCTCTCATCCATTGAGAAAGGTTAGGTCAGCAGTTGTAATCTCAACCATAATTTGATAATTGTAATAGACGATGTAGTTACCTAGCTCACCCCTTTCCCAAGTGCAATGAAAATAATATATAACAATGATCATGCCTGTAAATTAAACAAAATGCATGGTATATTTTGAAACTGGAAATGTAGTTCTAGTTGAACACCCATGGGAGCAGGATATCTGCCTTGTACTCTTAAGTGATGGTTTTCTAAATAAGACTGTAAAATAGAATGACAAATTGCACATCCAGTAGTTACAGCCAATCAGTTATCTAGGGAAGACCTGCTGCTTCCACAGTATTCAAGGGGTCGTAGTTCAGAGATGTCAGACACAGCAGCTAACTATAGAATTAGTAGTACTCATAGGGCACTGCTTGATTTAAAGAGTGTGGAGCAGTGAGAAAATGAAGGGATAACTTTTGCACTGTTGACCTTGACAGGGTATAATTTTTAAGCTACCATTGTCTGCTCTCCACATCAGGATTGTTTTCTGGGATTGTGTGAACCAGAGTTAATAACTAGGCAGTGCCATAATACTGAGATGTTAAAAGCCACCACGAAAAGGAAAAATTGATGGGAAGGAATCACTGAAGGCTTCAAATGGCTGAGTGTGCAATGGAGAACTTTTGCAAAGGAATCTAACCTTGGAAAGCTCTTAGAATAATTGCCTTTCTTTGGTATTGTAATTTATTTAACAATAGTAATTCCTTGTGGGGTGTACAGTTTGGAGGTCAGGAATAGAAGTGACCAGTGATTGAGTAGTGGCCTGTACAGAAGATCAATCTTTGAATGGGATGGAAAGTGAATGTTAGTATGGAAGGGACTTGTGATGCATTTACAAAGAAGATGGGTGGGTGGAAGATTGTTACTGAAGACAGAGGTTGGGAAAGTTTGGGAAAGTGTGTGTTACTTCAAAAAGTGGGGAGACAAAAATGGGGAGATAAAGGGAGAGTTTTATTACTCTAAATAACTGTTCATGTCATTCATTCTTTCAGTCTAATGATTCATGAGTTGTAAACCAGTTTTATCAGCATTATGATTTTAAAGACCCTGGCAACAATTATAATAAATACATTTCTAAACTTTTTTTCCAAAATGTGGAAATTTTTTACATTCATTCACA